CAAAGCAGCAAGGGACAAGAAAGAGGGCTGAGTAGCTAAGAGTGCAGGCTGCTTTTGTACCCTTATTGGGTGGCTCACAACTACCTACAACTGGAACTTTAGGAGAATCCAATGCTGATGGGCCATGCCAGACACCTGCACTCACTAGCACATCTCTTCTCATAAGCATAACTAAAAATAGTAACATCATTCAGGCAGGGTGGCACAGACCTTAATCCCGGCATTCAGAAGGCAGAGACAGGTGAATCTGAGTTCAAGGCTGGCCAGGGATATACGGAGAAATCCTGTCTCGAAAAACCAAAATCATGTAATAGTAACAGCAACAACAACTTAAAAAAAAAAAGTTACCACCTATGGAAGAATTACTATGCCATGGTCTAATAAAAGCTTTTTAATAAATTTTAAGGCTTTTGGCTGGGTGGTGGTGCACACCTTTAATCCCGGCACTTGGGAGTCAGAGGCAGGCAGATCTCTGTGAGTTGGACACCAGCTTGGTCTAGAGTTCCAGGACAGCCAAGGTTACACAAAAAGTCTGTCTCGAAAAACCAAAAACTTTTAAGCATAAATCTATAGGTGCTTTATACCTATACAAACATATACATTTAACAATCCGCATACACAGATACATATGTATTTGTGCACATTTATATGTTCGTACATAGTTGTGGTAGGTAATCAGATAAGTTTTCTTGGTGTATGTGTATGTGCAGTGAGTATGAGTGTGTCTTTGAGACAGAGCATCTTGAGTACTGAGATGACAGGGGTGTGCCACCATGTCTGATTTCTATGTTATTCTCTACCTACTACTTCTACATGTAAGAAATTTAAAGCACGATGTAGTGGCACATGCTTTTAGTCCCAGAACTCAGGAAGCAGAGGCAGGCCAGGCTGGTCTACAAAGAGTTCCAGAACAGTCAGGGGTACATAGAGAGGCCCTGTCTCAATAAAAACAAATAAATCTACTTGGGAGGTAGAGGCAAGGTCACCTAGTCTGCAGAGTGAGTTCCAGGACAGCCACTGCTGTTACACGAAGAAACCTTGCCTATAAATAATATAAATATATAATCTAGATTTGCAGATATTTAGTGCCTGGTCAAGAACTTAAAATCTTGTTACCAATAGCTTTGATCAATTTTCCAATTAAGTAATTACATAACATGTAAAGAATAACCATTTTGCCCTTTTCTATCAATGCTTGGATTAAATATGAGCTTGTTTACTGAAGCACTTTTTATATCATTTTCTGAGACTGTCTCACATTGTTCAGGCTTCCTGGAAATCAACATGTAGCTGGGAATAACAAAGCTTGAACTGTACCTCTACTGCCCAACTGCTGGGATTACAAGGTTTTTTATCCTGTGCTTACACACACGTATACAAATGCACCCTGGGTGAACTGAGTATGTGCAGACTGCCTATATCAGCAAAAGCAGCCATGGACCAATGACACGAAAACACAGAACTTCAGAAGGACAAAAATCAGTTTGCTATTCCACTTCGGATACAGAGGACTCTCGCAATCCAGCAGAAATGAATCAAAAACATTTGTTAAATTTGTCACACAAAAGTTCTTAACAATGTGAGACACAAAGTATATCCAACTGCAGTATATTATGAGCCAGACAACAAGCTACTACTAAAGAGCAGAGAGCCATGGAAAACAACAAAAGCCAACAGAGATTAAACCTTCCCAATGCCAGAGACCTCCACTGTCCGTGAGTGCTGGGACAAGAACTTGACTGTGTGTCTACAATTCAAGTCTTGCATCTGTTCACCAGAGTCCTGTTGTAGCAGAACAGGACTTGAATCTCTTCTCTCATCTACTTGTATCAGCCTCCCAAGAGCTACAGTTACAGACATGCACCTCTTACCATTCCTGATTTGTAGCTGTTTCTTTGCAAAGATTTCTTTTCATTTTAGTGAGAATTGTCTTAATTGTTATGCATTATTGACTCTATGTTTTTCCCAGGTACCCTAAGAGCCAGAAGGGGATGTGGAGTCTTTGAAATTGGAATTTCAGACAGATGCGAACAGTCATCAGGATGCTGGAGACTGAGCCCAGTCCTCTGCAAAAACAGTAAGTGTTCTCAACCACTGAGCTATCTCTCCAGCCCCTGTAGCTGGCTTTTAGATCTTAAATTATAACATATAATGTTGGGTGCAGTGTGAAGAATGGACTCACATTTACCTCCCCGACGACCAGACTTTTTCTGAGACCCTTCGCTCATTTAAACCAAAGGATGATAAATTTGCACTGCGCCTGTTTTTGTAATTTTTTTTACATTTTTTTATTTCCTGCTTATACAAATTATTCATAAAATGAGCTTAAGGATTTCGTTGAATAAAGTTTTAAAACACCTAAAATAATATTTACCCACACAACTAAAAATGAGCACCCACTTCAGTCTTTGATATCTTCCTGATAAAGCACAGTCTTCGATGACGCCAAATAGTCACTTTTTTGTTATTTTAAGATAATACAACTTTTAAATCCAAAGTGAGATGTTAAAAAAACTTGTGTTCTTGTTGAGTGCTCAGCACTAAATGAGTCTCTCTATCAACACCCATTTCCAGTGAGACTCAGGGAACACTGCAGAAGGGGGGTGGAAGATAATACAAGAGTCAGAGGATGGGGAAGAGTGCTATGAGATACTGCCTGCTAGATAGGACACGGCCATTACAACCAGAAACTCAGAATGCTACAGTTACCTGCACAAGATTGAGCCAGTCAATTTCAGTATGGATGGGATAAGGGCCCACATCAGTTAAGGAGTTACAGGCAGGCAACAGATGACTGCTGAGGGGTCGTGGTTGCTGGTAGGTTCTCCATGCTTGCTTAAAAGCACCAAATTGAACTTAGTGGGTTATTTAAAAGGGGGAGGGTGTTATCCATGGAGAATGGAAATCGAAGTTTGGGTGGACATAACTAAGACATATACACATAATATAAATGTAATATGTTACATATATAAGATATGTATATATAATATGGATGTCTGAAATTGTCCAAGAATCAAAAACAACAAACGCATGTTCTCTGTTTAGGACTCTACAGTAAATAATTTTCAGCTGGGAGACACTAATTAAGAATCTATCTTACAAAATATCACAGGTCATCCTGTCCAAATCAAACTGAGATGGGACTGAATATAGGCTATGAAGACTTCATCATAAAGTCTCAATTAAGCCCTTTGACATTCATGTGGTACTCCAAATTTTTTAATGCCAAAATGGGATTAGGTTGACAATAGAAAATTAAGACAATACTAAAAGAAATGTACTTGCAAGTCTATATAGCACCAAGAGAGGCAAAGATAAGGATCTGCCTGTGTGTGTCCCTGTCCATTTTGAGCTAGCTGCTTCTTCAGGTGTTCTCAAGATGAAGCAAGTCTCTACAAAGTACAGGACTCACAAGTAATGATGCTATCAACAGTTTGGCTGCCACTGGAAATAATTTAGCTGGTTTTCAAACGCTATCCCCGAGACTGGAGAACACAGGCACCATTTTCTCTAAGTTTAAAACTGTCATAATAGGTTAATGGCTGTTTGATTCCAGAAGTATATTGAATCACTTTTTTAAACCAAAGACCTTTTCAGCTACTTTAAAGCATTGCTTTCAAGTATCCCAGTGTCTAACATAATTAACAAGTTTAGACTATGGGTACTTAATAGCTTTTGCTCAATGCTTCCACATTCACATATGCTTCCACGTAAGTATTTAGCGTGTGGATTGTGGCTACTACTAGCCTCAAACAAAATTCTATGGCTGGACTAACTGGGTTTCAGAACGTTACCTGCTAAGAAAGCCACTTTTTTTTTCTTTTTCTTTTTTGAGACAGGGTTTCTCTGTGTAGCCCTGGTTGTCCTGGAACTCCTTCTGTAGACCAGGCTGGCCTCGAAGACTGCCTCTGCCTCCCGAGTGCTGGGAATAAAGGCAGGCACACCAACAAGTATGTGAAGTCATTGCTTGAGGGCTTAAGGCGTGACTATGTAGCAAATCCCCAAAGTGAATGGCAAGTCAGGTTCAACGTGAAGATTATAATCCCTCAGCTTCCCCCCCCACTTTTTTGTTGCCTATGAACACTATAATAAAACACAAGTTTGTTTCTCCTTCAGTTTACAGTCATCCCGTATGCAAACACCATGTCCAGACTAACCCTCTGGTCTTCTAACTCTGACAGGATATATACAGTAGGTAGTCTCGAACATCCAGCTACTTTTCAAAAGTAGACACGCACAAAAACACCCCCTCACAGCAGGCATGTGTCAAAACAGCTTGGGGTACCGACACTGTGCTCATCACTCACTAGGGTCGCGCGATTACTGCCTCCTCTCAGGCGGGGAACCCTAGGGTGTTTTCCTACAGCAAGGCCTGGGTGCAAGGCCTAGGCGAGAGTTTACGACCGCTGCCCAGCCAGAAGACCTCCTGGGACAGAGGAAAGGACAACCGGGCCAGGCCGCAGCCCAGCACAGCACCTTGCCAGCCTTAAACCGGTCGCAGCGCGCGGGCTCGCGGGGCCACGCCGCGGACCTCACCCCGCGCCCCTAGACCCCAAAAGGCGAGGGGCAGTGCCGGCTCCTCCCTCCCCCGCGGGGCACGGGCTCAGGACCGCACAGGAAGGCCACGTCCCCAGGGACAGGCACCACTCTATGGTCTGCGGAGGGGGGGGGGGAGGAAGAGCGCAAACCCACGTGACCAGCGCCTAGCCAATTGCGGGACAGCGGCCCGCCATCGAGACGACTGCGGAGGCGGCTAGAGATGCCCGCCGGCGAGTCAAAGGCGCCCGTCCATCCCGGCGCAGGGCTCCTAGCTCGGTGCTGCCGCCATCTTCCTGGAGGAAAGGGCAGAGGCAGAGGGCCCCCTCCCCTCCACCGCTCCGCACTCACGCTGCCACCCGCCCGCCCCCGGTCGTCTCTCACTCTCAGTGGACACCTCATTCCTTCCTAAGAAACATCCTTCCCCCAACGCTCGTTTCCCACAAGGCGAGGAATCCCATTACCTGTTCCTCTCTTATTAGCGCGAGGAAACCAAGCTCATAAGGTAGGAACTGTGGCGAAACAGGAACAAGACGCCATCTTGGTAAAGGAGAAGAGGCTACGCTTGACCTCCCCCCGCCCCCAGCCTCTATATGGCCAACCGCCGTGGGAGGGGCACGGCGCCTGCGCAGAGGCGGACGCCGGCCCCGTCCACGCTTGCGCTCTGCTGCCCGACCGCGGGGGAGGGGGACTTATTCGGGGCCCAGGAAGGAGTTGGCATGGGGCGGGGCGGCGCGATGACGCAATCTTTGCGCGCGCGCGCGGCGGGGCGGGGCAGGGCCGGTCCGTGCTGTAGGCTGCCGAGCGGTTCCCGGCGTGTTTAGCGGGTGAGTGTGTGGCGGTGCGGACCCACTTTCGCGCGGGCTCGGGTCGAGCTAGACGTCCTGAGGGACTGCGAGAGTTCATCTCGCGCCCCGGCCACTCGGGCTGCGGTGGCGGGGGGCGGGAGGGGCGCGCGTGCGGGGGAGGGGCGGCCGCGCCCTTTAGTCCGTGGCTCCGGGGATGGACGCGCGGCGGGCGTCGTCCCTTCGACGACAACTGGACGGGCGTCCCCCATCTGGGTAATCCTCCTGGCTGGGTCCAGGGCGTCGGGGCGGGCGCGGCGGGTCCCGGTGCTGCGTGGTGGGGCCTCGGGCGTCGCCGCTGGCGGATGGGGGAGTTGGGTGAGGTGGCTTTAGATTCCTATCTACGAGGCGTCCCTGTTCGTGTGGCCATCTTCGCACTTAACGGTGCCCATCTCGCCCCGGGGATGTGGAGGACTAGCCAGTCACCCCGAGGAGTCAGTGAGGGCCACCAGTTGGAGGCAATGGGTAGTCAGTCGTATGGAAGAGTGGCCTGGTCCCCCTGTGGCCTTCCCCAGGGATGTGCGAAGCTCGACAAAGGGCTGTAACAGTGTGAGTGACACGGATAGGGGACAGCCAGCCGAGGCCTCTGGCGGAGAGAAGTGGTGAAGTCTAACTCTGAAGCCGGCCCTAGGTCCAGACCACGCCTGACCGTTTTCCATCTTCCAGCTCCATTTGTTAGTGCCTCCCGGCCTTGTCCTGTCCCACCTTACACGACTGCCACAGTAATCTAACTCTTAGAACTTCTCGTTCAAACCACTGTGGTCGCTATCGCTGGCCTTAGCCCAGTCTACACCTCGTGTCTGAGCACGGCTAACTCCCACGCTCTCTTGTCTTCTGCTTATCTGTTTAGTTCCTGCTGCCCGTTATTCGGGACTCTGCCTGGATGAGATTTCCTTCAGATTAGGTATTCCATTGGCGTTTAGTACTTGGGTACCTACTGCATAGCAGGGCGATTCTTGGATTCTCTTAGTAGCTAAGCTTATTTTAGTATCTCAGATACATTTCTAAATTAGTCTTGCTAGCATAAGGAAAAGTGGGGGTTTGTTGGGGTCATGAAAACTTGTTTTTTCTCTGTGTCTCTAATGTGATCTTTCTTCTCAGTGGCTTTATTCAGGGATTCTTTGCAGTACCCAGAATTCAGACTGTCAGTGTGTACTGTTCTGTCTTATTTTAGTGGTGATTTTCTTCGTTGTCAAAATTGTCTTGATCATTTTTTTCAATTTTTCCACCTTGGATCCCTCCCGTCCCCCTTGTACAGCTCTGTGAAGAACAGAACTTTTAAATGAGATGAGATTCTCATTCTGGTTTAGCTGGGTAGCCTAGGGAAAGAGGGTGGGGCTTCCCTCTATCATCATTCATGTGAGTGTAATTCAGCTCTCTGATTGTGGCCTGCTGCCCCAAGCTCCATTAAGAGTGTTGTATTGCATAATGTACTTGTGCAGTCCTCACGTCTAAGAATCTTAAGTGCCTAGACAGTCCAGGCACTTTGGATAAAAGTTCTTCAAGATCCTACATTTTGAAGTCTTAGTGTGGGGGGGGGGTTTAGGGGTACATGAATGATGCTTCCTATTTATGAGTTTTCCAGTACTATAAATACCACTTGCAAAACAAGTTTCTAGTGTCAGAAATACAGTTTTGTTAATCTGTTCATCTTTTGGATCTTATTTGGGGTAATAGTATTATTCTGGAATAAAGAACCTGTGGATCAAGGATAAAGAACTTATGAATAACTTATGACATCTGAAATATGCACAAAGTGAAAAATAAAATTTTAGTTTGACCATATATCTTAGATGTGGAGGATCTAGTTAATCTACACCTTGAACTTAGTAGTTTGTAAATGGATCAAGGTTTTCACATTAAAAAACAAGTGCTTCATAAATTCAGTATTCCCCTCGCAGCTTTCATTTTGGCATTATGGTGATATATATATAGTTCAGTTGATAGAGTGCTTGCCCTGAATTCAAGAGTCCTAGGTCCCTATTACACCCCCACATGAAACCAAAACCCTTCTTTTGTTGTTACTAAATTGTTAGGAAAACATTGTGGATCCAAGTTATGTTTGGATGTAGGGTAAAGAATTTGTAGTGTGGCATGTTCCATGTTGAAGAATCATTGTTTGTATTTTCTGCTTCTGTGCTTGTGTTCTTCATCAGGATGCTTCTCAAAGAAAGGAAACGGAGAGTAGGAATTACCCTTCTTTGTTCTGAATTGACCCATGTCCTAAGATGACCTGGTAAAGCTGAGGAGATACAGCAGTATAGAAAAGGTGCTCATGATGTTTCCTGTATCTTGTGGTGGTTTGAAATAAAATACATTTAATAGTAGTGAAGGCAAGTATCCACTCTTCTACTGCTCTCAGCTATTTATCTTTCCTTGTAAACATAGGTTATTTTACCCAGTGCTTAACATACCGTTGGAATTCCAGTTTAGAATTGAATTAATTATACCAATTTGGGGAAACAAAATGGCTTGATAAGTTTAGGGCTCCCCCCCTTAAATCTGTCTGTAGCCAAGTATAGTATTGCACTTCTGAATCTCAACGTTCAGAGGCTGAAACAGGATTGCCAGCCAGTTCAAGGTGATCTTTGATTACAAAGACTGCCTTAAAACCAAAGAAGACAAAAGAACCTAAAATGTGTTCCTGTGCATTTGAGTGTTTGTTTAGTTTTCATACATGGTTTCTTTGTTGCCTAGACCATTCAAGAACTCACTGTATAATCCAAATGGCCTCCTTTTGATAGGAGGTTTCTCTGTGTAACTTGGGAGCCTGTCTTTGCACTCGCTCTGGAGACCAGGCTGGCCTCCGAGTCACAGACACCCACCGGCCTGCCTCTTCCCCCTGAAAGCTTGGAGTGGAGGCATGTGCCACCACGCCCCAGCTTGGCCTCAAATTTATGATCCTCCTGCCTCAACCTCTAGTGCTGTGCTACCACACGTGGTTCAGTTTTCATTATTTTAGTCTTGTTAAGTATTTTACCCTATTTCCGTTCCTAAATATTTACTGCAATGCTGGCATGTAGCTCCTTGGTAGAATACTTGGTCAGTGTATATGAAATCAGGTGTTAACTCCCAAGCAACCCCCCCCACACACACACAATTCAGAAAGAAACTTTCAGGTTTTGAGATAGGATCTCCAGTTTGCAGTCCTCTTGAGTGCTGAGATTACAGTGGTACACCACCACAGCTAGCTAGAAACTTTTGACTCATCACATACCTTTTCTCAGCACCTAACTGAATAAATTACCCTGTTCAACAGTTCCCTTTTTGTTCCAGCCTGGCCTGGATACCTGAGATACATGAGATTGAAGGCCTATTCCTCTTAGCCTGCTTTATTGTTGTTGTTGTTTTTTTTAAGATTAGGTCTCTGTTATGCAGTTCTGGCTGTCCTGTAATTCACTGTGTAGATCAGGCTAGCCTTGAACTCAGAGAGCTCCATCTGCCTCTGCCTCCCAAGTGCTGGGATCAAAGACGTGAGCCCCCAAGCTCGGCTACTGTCATTTTTCTTTTGTGTTTTTATAATTCAAGTATTGTATTTTTGCACATGTTAATCCTGTCGGCAAAGTAGTTTGGTTTCATGATTTTTCTTGATACACTAATCCTGATAGGGTAGTATTAAATAATCATGGTAAAATTGCAATATCTAGATCCTACTTGCATTTTGATTCTAATGAAAAATGAAGCAGTTGAGTATTTTGGTTATATTAAACAGCTGTAATTAATTTTCTCCAGAAATAATAGCTTGCCTTTTTTTTTTTTTTTTTTTTTTTTTTTTTTTTGGTTTTTCGAGACAGGGTTTCTCTGTATTGTTTTGGAGGCTGTCGGTCCAGCCTGGCCTCGAACTCACAGAGATCCTCCTGCCTCTGCCTCCCGAGTGCTGGGATTAAAGGTGTGCGCCACCAACGCCAGGCTAGCTTGCCATTTTTAGGAGCCTTGTGCATACTGCACTATAAATGAAGTGAATATTTAGCATTTGCTTCACCGTAATCCAGGGAAGTTAGAAATAAACTAATATTGCCCTTGAATTACTAATTATTAAAATTGAATAAAGGGTGGTATCTGAGGGTTTTATTGTGATGTTTCTGTGTGTGCTTTAAGTTTTTTATTTGTGTTTTAAAGTAATTATGAGAGTAATGGACATTTTAAATCTATTATTGGTTATAATTCAAATAGGTTTAGTATATCTTTTTAAAACATTGTATTTTATGTGTATGAATGTTTTGTCTATATATACATCTATGTATCACTTGCCTGATGCCAAAAGAAGAGGACATCAGAACCCCTGGAACTCGAATTACAGACAGATATGAACTGCTGTTTCTGCTGGGAATAAAACCTGGGTCCTCTGGAAGAGCAGCAAGTGCTCTTAACCTGGGAGTCATCCCTTTAGCCCCTAGTTTAAGTAATCTTATTGTTTAAGAAATAACATTTGCTATTGTTTTTGGAAACAACCCCAAATTATATTTAAACAGTTTCCTTAGTGTTTTTTCATCCAGATTGATGAATTTAATTATATACCTCATCAGTGTCTATATATGGTTTTCTCTTTTTTAAATTTTATTAATTTTTATGTAAATTAAAAACTATCTTATTTTACATACCAATCCCACTTCCCTCTCCCTTCCATCCTCCTATTTCCACCACCACCACCACCCCATCCCACCCCCTATCCACTCCCAGGGAGAGTGAAGCCTCCCATGACAGAGTGAGGGGCAGGACCTAGGCCCTCCCAACTTGTTATGATGTCTTATATTGATATG